TTTGTTTCTGGAACTATTTGCTAATAAATTCATCTTGTTTATTTAATAATATTGGTAAGATATTGAGATAATATTTTATTTCGATAGAAGAATTTAGTGTTTTAAGAAGAATTGGTATTGATTTAGGTATTGGTGGTGGTGTGATTAATTCTATACTTCATAATGATAAGTAACGAAAAGATTAAAAAAAAACTTGTTTTCTTTAAATTTAAATATATTCTAGTTGATGATGGTCATCGAGATGTTATTTTTGATCGTTTTCAAGATGTTGAACTAAATGTTATTGAAGAAGGAACTCATTTTATGATTCCATGGCTTCATAGAGCAATTATATTTGATATTCGTACACGACCACGATCTGTTCCATCAATAACAGAAATAAAAGGTATAAAAACTAGAAGAAAATAGTCAACTTCAGGAGAGAGGTGAACATGAGGAAAATGTAAGCTCGCGAAAAAAAGAAGGTAAATACGATGTCTATTGAAACATCAATGAATGTATATGACTGAGGTATCTTAAAAAATTTTGTGGCCATCGATGACGACTCAACTGATCGGTTTACACCTCTACACTTTCATCATTCATCAATCTTAAGATACTTTATAAAACTTAAAACGAAAAGTCTCCGTTATTTTTTCTTCGTATAAATGAAATATGCATAAATTATATTTTATTATTTTTATTTTAGATTTACAAACAATTAATATAACATTACGTATTCTTCATCGACCAAGAGCTGAACTTTTACCGAAAATTTTTTGCAAACTTGGGTTTAGATTATGAAGAACGTGTTTTATCATTGATTATTAATGAAGTTTTAAAATCTGTTGTACTAAGTCTCAATTTGATGCTATTGAATTGATTACACAACGTACACTTATTTCTTAACGTATTAGTGAATTATTAATAGAACGTGCTGCTCAATTTGGTTTATTACTTGATATTTCAATTGTAAGATACAACAAAAAAGAGTCTCGAGTTGATTATATTGTTTTTTTCTTTAAATTAGACACATTTAAGTTTTAGATCTGAATTTACAAGTGCTGTTGAATTAAAACGACGATTTTTAGTCGAAAAAGTAAATCAATAAGAATAAGATTTGTATGAATTTGTTTTTTTTGATAAAAAAAGAACAGACGGAACAAAGTCGTCAAGCAAATGTTATTGCGGCAGAAGGTGATGCTCGTACAGCTGATTTGATTGACAAAGCTTTAGATGAAGCTGGTGATGGTAAATTTTCGAATATCTTTTATTATTTTGTCTTACTTTATTTTAATATTCATGTTAGATTTGATCGAACTTTGACGAATTGAAGCCGCTGAAGGTATTGCAAATCAATTATCAAAATCAAGAAATAGCGTCTATTTACCACATGGTCCTCAAATGTTACTTAACATTACTGGTGCTATGTAATAAAAATATTGTTTTTTGTTTTCGTAGTAAACTAACGAGATTGATTTACGAAAATAAAAAGAACATATAAGAGTTTTTTTTGTATGTGTGTGTGTGTGTTTATAAACTATTGAGAATACTAAAGCATTGTATTGTCTTGTTTTTTGTTCGATTAAAGAAAAAGAAGATCAGATCAACAATTCTCTAGATGATATTAAAGATTCGAGTACGATTGAAATGATGAATTTCGATAATCTCTTTCGACGTTTTATATTAACTCAATCATTTGTACGTGGTTGGGGAAATCCATTTCATTTACAAGACACTTTTACCTATCGACGTGGAAAAATTGGTGTAAGAGATGAGTGTTTACAACTAGTACCAGCTGAAAATGTACAGGAAAATACTGTTGAAATAATTAAATAAGAAACAAAAAGGTAATCAAAATTATATAAATGCTCGATTTGGTTCACCACTTGCCAATTATTTACCGCATTTGGTAAGTAATTAAAATTATTTTAATCATTTAATTAATATTATCTTTTTTCTTTTGTTATATTTATTTAAATAGGTTCCATCTCAAGTAGCTACAGCTCATTTTCAATTCGTTCTATCACGTGATCATCGTTTTGGTATTGATTCAATTCCAATAAGAATTTGTTATGCTGGAACAGGTGATCATGGTTTTAGTCGATGAAGGTCATTTACTGCAGTTCCATTAATTAATCGATATTCTATAGGTTCAATTCTTCTTGAAAATCCATATTATGATTTAAGAAAACCACAAGATCAATCTCGTTCATCATTATTGTATGTTACCAATTTATATATCATGGGTGAAGAACTTGTTTTAGAAACACTTATGCTACTTCATTGGTGTCAAAAAATGAAATTAACACCAGCTATTCTACATGACTTTTCTCTTGGTGGATATATGGCTTCATTAGCATTTACAAAGTAAGATACAATTCTATTATTTGATCTATTTAATGAATGGATATACAGTATCTATCATAATTTCAAATAATGATTCAAGTAGAACAAACCATATTACAAAAAGAATATAAATTAAAAACATTGATTATTTGATTCCATAAGTTAGGATTTTTTTAGACAACCCAAAAGCCTAATTTCTCAGTATCTAGTACTTGAACTCTCTAGGACGGATTTTTATTGAGTAAAAGTTGAATAATTTTGGTAGCCATTGTGTATATATTTATATTTTAGATGGCCTGATCCACCTTCTCGACAATTCTATGAAAATAAAGCCTCTCAAACATTTTATGATTATTTACGTGAACGAAATCAATCAATAGATTTAAATAAAATTGTTCTCGATCTTATTAAAGATATGATGCGTCTTCTTATGGATGAATTTACATCTTTACATAATCACTCACGCCTAATTCAATCAAATATACCTAATGTTATGTTTATTGCTTGTACACATGATGGTATTTCACATATGAATGATGCATGGCCTGGTATTCATATCCGATATATTCTTCATGGACATGTTAGTGCATTTTTATTTAATCAATCAGGTCTTTATCATGCTGCTGCTAAAATGTTACAACGACAAGAATCAAATGTAAAATTAAAAAAAACATTTAATCATATCACCAATTTCTGTTACTACACCTAAAAATTCGTGAAGATATATATTTTTTTCATATAGATATTTTCTCGAACAGTATCAAATATTTCCTACTTTTTGTGTTATGATTTGAATAATAACTTAGAGAAAAGAAAACTTTTGATCGAATATAAACTAGATAATATATTAATCATTTTGTTTTTTAAATATAATTTGTATGACTCTAGTAAAAACATGAGCAAACATTTTTTTTGTCCTATTTATCAGCAAATAGATATTGCGAGAACTTCTCCAACTGACATCCTCTGTTCGAGCTCATAAGTAGGACTCATAGTCATGATGAAAATATTAAACATGTTCGTGATCTTAAGCCTTTCATGATTGGTCTATTAAATTTTCAGCATATTGCAGGATATTAGCAAAAAAAACTGTAATAACGAGTCTCCATTTGAAACTTTCTCCAATAACAGATCTCATAATAATTATTACATTCTAAAAGTTTTAGCTCAAACGAATGGATCCAAGTCAATCAATCAGACAGTGAGATCAATGACAGATCCTTGCACGTTCATACAAGATCGTACAATTTGATTTCACTATATTGTTTGAATCCTTTACAATAATCCATACAGGTTAGAGTTGTCTTCTTTATAAATTACCATACCATCCATACGCATACATAGCCAACATTTAAATTTCTGGTAGCATAACTGGATATAGATTTATCTATATACCTTTATTCAGAATTGGAACTGGTCTTTATCAGTTCTCTTTCTTTTCGCAGATGTGAACGAGAAGGAAAAGAACAGCGTGCACATTTATATGATCATATCCTTAATATCAAATAAAACTTAGTTATTACTTGAAAAAGAAAAAGAAGATGCATAATGCAAAATAGTTCGTGTTAACAACAGAAGAATTGCTTGAATTTTGTATTATAAAAATAACTTTATAAAAAAAAAAGAACTATTCTTTTGCTTTATTCATGTCTGAGCATTTTAGATATTCACTCCAGAATATTGTGTAGTGAACATGAAGACACAATAAATAAATTTTATTTTGTATTTTCATATAATTTTGAAATTATTTATAGAAGATCAATGAAGAAATGTATTTCTAAGTAGAACATACTCTATTGGTATTTAATGTTGAGAAGAAACTAAAAATAAACAGAGCGAAAAAGAAAATATTAGTTTTTTTTACGATTGCATTTTAATGTTGATTATTTCAAATAATGAAGATAGATATTTTTTATTTCTACTTCATAGTTTACATTCTTGTTAAGATATAAATAGCCAATATTGACATAATCTGTAGCTAGAAGACGATAAAACTTGTCTATCATTGAATCTCTGTTTATTTGCTTGATATCATAAACAGATTGACAAAAAAAAACAGATTTTATCAAGTCTAAAATGCTGATATTATATACTGAGGGTGTGGGCGTGCAAGCATATAATACCTACACGGACACCCAGACACACCCACACCTACTCTAGATTAGGATTTCATCTTGTACAATATTATATCAAAACATGCCCTAACTCAGTCTCTTTCGATTGGTGAAAACTGCAGATCACTAGCTCTTGCCGTTCTCGACTTATTCATCGTACACCAACCCACATTTAATTCTAGCGCCGTTCATAGGTGAATTGCTAATCAAGGCTGTTTTATTGATTGCTCCTTCATAACCAACGGGTTGCATATGTGTAATCAATCTGACGAATTATGAGTATGCTGATGGACGACCACTTGACCTTTGTTTTTCTAAAAAGGGTAACTTATCCACCATGTATAAATAGAACAGTACTTCATTTCAATTGTTTTGTTATAATACATCTAAAATCATCACAAATTGCCTATTGAATTTTTTTACTATTACTAGCATGTAAAATATAGTTGCTAATACACATATGATAATATGACAGTCAGACAGAGGCGCTATAGAACGGACCCTCGCTGAAGAAACTTTTGAGAACAACACAAAGCCAACTAACTTTCTTTTTACT